GACACTTCGTTTTGGGAAGTGAGCTCAGTGTGGCTGAATCACAAAGAAATCAAGTAGTAGGCATGAAGCTGGGGAGGCAGACTGGGACCAGAGTGTAAAAAGATTTTCTCTGAAGGCAGACCCTTTCGAAAAACAAATTTTACTAGGTAAGCACTCTTATCACTGAGCTACTCCCCCAGCACTTTATCTTATACACAATAGGTGAAAGAGTAGCAAGGGCACTTGTTTGGCCCCTGCCTGGCCTTCCACCAACAGTTTTTCTGTAGAAAGAGCCTGCCATCTCTGAATGACAAAAATGGAGTTGCAGGAGTATGAACTCTTAAGTTAACAGCAAATCCTGGCTCAATAACTAAYTGGGAAACTAGATGCTTAAGCTCTGTGGTTCAGCTCCCTCACATATAAAATGGGATTAATCTATCAAATCACAAGGTTGCAAGGAGTGAGCTAATAAGTTAGTATCTACAAAGCTCTTGCACAGCTATATGCACTCCTGAGGCAGCACTTTGGATGGTAAGTTGAGAGTGTGGAAAGACCACTTAGATCTTATGAGAGAATATGGAGGTTTTTGAGGTCAAACTGGTAGGATTTGATGACAGCTTGCAGTAGGTGGGATGAGAGATTTGCTGAGGATGATATCAAAGTTTTTAGTTTAATCACTGCTTTAATATGGAATATATTTACCATTGGCATATTTCATACCAACAAACGTAGGGCACTAGATGTGGTAAGATATAAGAGCCTACAATCAGATTTGGGAGTTACACATGGGTTACCAAAAAAAAAAAAAAAAAGGCAAATAAGGGGGCAGATGCTAAAAGCCACGGCCACATTTTCTTTCACCCTCTCACAACCAACTTGTGTTTTAGCCATCCCTAAATCACCTGCAGTTCCAGTGAGACACCACATTTCCCACAATTTCATGCCTGGTACCTTTTTTTTTGGTGGTAGTGGTACAAGGGATTGAACACTGGGCTAYATCCCCTGGCTTTTCTTTTTCAATTTTGAGTCAGGGTCTTGCCAACTTGTGAGGCTGACATCAAACTTGCAATCCTCCTGCCTAAGCCTATTCATTACCTAATTCTTTTTGGATCCTTATTTACTTTTTATATGTAGTGCTGAGATCAAACCCAGTGCTTCACACATGCCAGCCCGTTACCCAATTCTCACTCTTCTTTAAGCCCTTGTCCAATTCGTCCTGTTTTCCCTAATATATTTTTTTTGTAGTTGTAGATGGACAGCATGCCTTTAATTTGCTTTTATGTGGTGTTGAAGATCAAACCCAGTGCCTCACATGTACAAGGCAAGCACTCTTGCCATTGGGCTACAGCCTCAACCCCTCCCCAATAATTGTTTTTTAAATATTAATTTTTTTAAATTATTTTCTTTTTTTTGTTTTAGGTGGACACAATATCTATTTTTATGCGGTGCTGAGGATTGAACCCACTACCTCACACATGCCAGGCCAGCGCGCTACCACTTGAGCCACAACCCCAGCCCCACAATACCTTCATTTTATTAATTGTTAAAGGACCTTTGTTTTATTTGTTTATATGTGGTGCTAAGAATCGAACCCAGTGACTCACACATGGTAGGCAAGTGCTCTGCCAATGAGCCACAATCCCAACCCAATACCTTTATTTTTATGTGGGGCTGAGGATCGAACCTGGGCCCTGCCCGTGATAGGCAAGCRCTCTACCGCTGAGCCATAATCTCAGTCCCCTAATAATTCTTATTGTGCAACAGATGCCCTTTTTTAAAAAAAATATTTTTTTTATTTTAGGTGGACACAATATTTTTATGTGGTGCTGAGAATTGAACCCAGTGCCTCATGCATGCTAGGCAAGTGCGTTACCGCTTGAGCCACATCCCCAGCCCTGCCCTTCTTGTTTTCAAAGCACCTATTACAYGTTACTATTGTTCTATCTATGCCCCTCTCCTGAGATAGAGTAAATACCTACGTAGAAACTATTAGGAATACTGCCAAAAGAAAGTACACCTTTGTCAGATTTGGTTTGGGGGCTACTATAGACACGTACTAATCCTCAGATAATAGGTATATTAAGTGTAGGCAGAGGAAGAGAGAGAATGAGTCAAGCTGTCTTGGTGATAAGTAGCAAAAAGCAAAGGCATTACCAACTTAACTGACATGCAAACTATAGTGTCATTTTTTTCTAATGGCCACATTAAAAATGTAAGAAACATGTGAAGCCAAATATGGTGGCTCACACATTCAATCTCAGCAACATGGGAGGTTGAGGCAAAATAATAAGTTCGGGGCAAGACTCAGCAACTCATATGAAAAGACCCTGTCTCAAACTAAAAAATAAAAAAGGCGGTAGGGTATAACCAGGTGAGGGGATGCATACCTGTAATCCCAGTGGCGCAGGAGAAACTTGGATTCAAAGCCAGCCTGAGCAACTTAGCGAGGTCCTAAGCAACTCAGCAAGACCCTGTCTCTAAAATATAAAAAAAGGGCTGAGGATGTGGCTCAGTGGTAAAGCACTCCTGGAACCAAAAAAAGAGGGGGGAGGCTAGAATGCAACTCAGTAACAAAACGCCCTTGGGGTTCAATCCCCAGTATCCCCCCTACCCCGAAAAAAGATGAAATTAATCCAACATAAAAATGTACTTACTTCAACATAAATATTTTACTATTATTCTTAGAAATATGTTTTATTTACATCCACAGCACAGCTCAATTCAGACTAGCTATATTTCAAATACTCAACCACATATTAGTGGCTTCCTATTGGACAGCTCAAGGTGAGAGAAAAATATTCTCATGGAAGAATGGATCCAGGAGATTACAGGTGTGCCCCACCACACCCAGCTATGTTGGAGGCTGGGGCAAGAGGATTACAAAATCTAAGCCCAGCGTTGGTAATTTATACCCCCCGCCTCAAAAAAAAAAAAAAAGTAATGTAGGTTCAAACCAAAGGGTCTGAATGCCCCTAAATAAAATGGAAAGCTCTAGGATTTTGAGATAAAACAATTTTTATTTAATTTTGGACAGGGTTCTCTAATTTGCTGAGGCTGACCTTGAATTTGCATTCTACCTCAGCCCCCCTTTGCTGGGATTACAGGTATGCACCACCATGCCCAGCTAGCAGCATACTACATAGGATTAAAACTGAAGACAGTCCTCACTGCCACTATATGGATTCATTTCAGTGAGGCTGTTCCAGTCTGTYAGAGCTAATTTCTGATGGTACAGACTGCTTTCACAACCACATATTTCTGTCTCACCAATAGATTTGCTAGGTAATGAGGCATGGTAAATCAGGGCAGCAGTGTAAAGATGGCTCCCTTCAGATGACACTTGGTTGGTAAGGTTGCATCTTTTTAGAGTTGTGCCCAGGCATGGTGGGGTACTAAAAGAAATAGCCTTTGATAGTGCTGACAAAAGCTGAGATTCAGCAAATTCATCAAATGAAGATTCATGTACCGTAGGTGCAGTATTCAAGGCTGTCTCAGAACAGTTTATTTAGATCCCTCTAATAATAGCATGTGCCCCAACTGGATTCCTATTTAGTATTCTTCAGTCTGCCCCTTTACAATATACCTTTCCATGTCAACACCCTTTCCCTCCCCCAGGGCTTTAAGGTTCCAAGCCAGTTACCAGCTAAGCCAAAGACTTACTTGCCTGACATCTGCCTTACTGCCTTTCCAGGCATTAATCTGAGGCAGGGACAATTTACAGAATGCACCTCAGACTGTTCTTGGCAGAAAAGGAAGTGGACACTTATCTTGAGGGCTGAAGGGACTCCTCCTAGGCATAATATCACATTTTCCAACTTAGAACTTTTTTTCCATTACTCTGGATCAAACCCAGGGGTGCTTAACCTGAGTTAAAGTAGGACCAGCTCCTACTTTTTCTTAATTAAGAAAAAACAACAACAACAAAAAGATCCTTTAAGACAGGATCTTGCTAAGTTCTCAGGCTGGCCTTAAACTTGGGATCTTCTGAGTATCTACATTACAGGCATGTGCCACCACAGCTGGCCCAACTTAGAACTTTTGAACAAGGCTGGAGATATAGCTAAGAGGTATAGCACTTACCTAGCATGTACAAGGCCCTGGGTTTGATCCCCAGAACTACCCTTTTTATTTTAAGACAGGGTCCAAGTTGCTTAGAAGTGCTGAGGCCGACTCTTGAACTTGCTCCTTCTACCTCTCAGCCTCCTAGCCTCTGGGTTTTACAGGTATGTGCTGCCATGCAAGGCCCCAGCATTACATTTAAAAAAAAAAAAAATCTGGGCTGGGGATGTGGCTCAAGAGGTAGCATGCTTGCCTGGCATGCGTGCGGCCTGGGTTCGATCCTCAGCACCACATACAAAGATGTTGTGTCCGCCGAAAACTAAAAAAAATATTTAAAAAAAAATCTACACACACATTATTTTTTCCTCATACAAATGTTGAATTTGGTTTTAGTATTGAAATAATCTTTAAAACCTGAAGTCTGGTAAACAATTTATGAAGGAAGTACAGATAAATCCTTAATGTCCTTTAAGCCTTTACAAAGATAAAAATAAACTTTAATAGGTTCCTAAAAGGAAAAAATTTTAAGAATGTCAGCCAGTTGCTGGGGCCTTGAATTCTTAATCCTTCTGCCTCACCTCCTGAGGGGCTGGGGATTACAGTCAAGCCACCATTTTCAAAAGCAGTTCACTATGTTAAAATACAAYCTGTTTGATCTTAAGTTGCCTAACTTTTACTATCAAGTCTCAACACTGCTGTGAAGATCAAACAATGTACAAGAAAAGAAAGTGATTTATAAACTATGATGAGTAACATCAAATTTTTGTTGGCTCAGGCTGGGGATGTGGCTCAAGCAGTAGCGCACTCGCCTGGCATGCGTGCGGCCCGGGTTCGATCCTCAGCACCACATACAAACAAAGATGTTGTGTCCGCCGAAAACTAAAAAATATTAAAAATCTCTCTTTAAAAAAAAAAAAAAWTTTTGTTGGCTCATTAGAAATATTCTTGGCCTTTCCATGCAGGAACAGCTGGAGGAAATGGAAGAACGACAGAGGCAGTTAAGAAGTGGAGTGCAACTCCAGCAACAGAAGAACAAAGAGATGGAGCAGCTAAGGATCAGTCTTGCTGAAGAGCTCTCAACTTATAAGTCAGTTTTTGCTGCCACTCAAATCTCATCTAACATTAGTTGAGGGGAGGGGGAAGGCTCAGGAAAAATTTCACTTCACAGTAGAAAACAAAAAATGATTTGGGAAATGATTTTCAAATTGTGCTCATCCAGGAACAGATGGAAAATGGCTCTTTCTTTTTAAAGGGCTATACTTCCCAAGAGCCTGGAACAGGCTGATGCTCCTTCTCAGGCAGGTGGAATCGAGACACAGTCTCAAGGTGATCTTTGTGGGTAATAGAGTGGTATTTGTATTGTTTCTGCTTTTCTAACAATACTAATTATTGTCTTTTTTTCCCCACCCCTAATATGACCTAATTACCATTAGGAAATCTGTAAACAGATAAAACACCTAGGCTCTGAGCATTCTCAGTTCTTTACCCTACCCCACCCACACCTCCTGTTCAGTTTCCTCAGTATAAATCAGAAGGCAGCTGTGCTATCAAATTCAGACCATGACAAAGGTGGCCAACAAGAGGGCTAAATTAAGTAAGTCATAAAGCTGTATTTCACAGACTTAACTTAGGGCCTATTAATAATGAATTATTCCAGACCCCTAGTATCTTATAACATGTCCTAATTCTTTATATAATATAAAGTCTAAATTCCCTTAAAAAGTCTGTCAGTTGTGTACTGTTATCAATGCCCATTTCTTCCATTTATTTCCTACTTAAACTTACATCTTGGATACAAAATCACAAGTAACTATTGGAGCCAATGCTCTTCTTTACTTTCTAGGACTTTCTTTTACTGTGTCTTATCTAGATATTTTATTATGCTTATTGTTGGATTAACTACAAATTGGGGGCAATGATCTGTCAAATACCTCTGTATGAACAGGAGAAGAAAGACAATGCTCATTTCTAAAGAAATGAAAGTGGCCAGGTACAGTGGCATGTGCCTGTAATCCCAGCGGCTCAGGAGGCTGGGGTAGGAGTTAGGAGTATCCAGAGTTTGAGGCCAGTCTCAGCAATGTCTAAGGCCCCATCTCAAAATAAGGCCAGGGATGTGGCTTAGTGGTAAAAGTCCCTCTGAGTTCAATTCCCCAGGACTGGGAAGAGGGGGGAAAAATACTCATGTGAAGTATTCCTGAGAGAAATTTTAACTACCCCAGTCTTCACCATCATATAGATAACCATTCGTTGTTTTTGCAAATATGAGGCTTCTAAATATTTGCTAGGGCAAATATTTATGATCACCCCTGATCATATGTAAATTACATTTCTCAACATAGCCTGTATAAACTAACTTTAGAAGTTCAATATTTCTAATGGTAGCATTTCAAGTTGTAGAAAGTATAAACTTATTCTTTTTCTTTTCCTTAACCTTACAGGGGCTGTTTAGAAATGTATGGCCAAATCTGTAATCCAGAAACAAAAAAAACTTATTAGCAAAGGATCACTGAATACCCTTGTGACACACTTCTTCCCAAACCGACGAGAGTACCAGAATTTGATGAGCAATTCACCTGTGGAAATTGCAAATATTGGCTGAACTGTATAAAATGATTTTAGGAGTGGCTGGAAGCAGAACACCAGTCAACTTTTAGCTGGATCCTACTTTGTAGGCTGCTGATACTGATCTCAATACACTGAGGAATGGAAAAATGCCTTTTATCTGCCAGCAGCAACCCTCACATGCAGAGTAAATGATGAATGTATGGACACATCTTGAAGTATTGTGAAAAATGTATTTTGCCTTATGTTTACCCAAACCAAAAACATGTTTGGAACAAAACTGGGGTAAAAAAGGCAACTGTTAGAATTCTTTTGTGCCATGAGTGTTAGATTTTAAATGAATCCTCTTATATAGTTTACTTTTTCTTAAGGGCTATACATATTCACATGGTATATTGTTAAAAATGTCAAAATAATTTTCAGTATACTCTGAAATAACTGACTTGGAGAAAAGGAATCCATCCAGATTTGAACCTCATGGTGTAAGATTTCAGATTTCCCAAAGACCTTTAGAGTTTTGGGGTCTATTCCGCCAAAACAAAACTAAGTGACTGGAAAGAATCAGGCATGTTATCTTGTTTTGGCATTTGGTGATAGAGGTTAGAAACAACAGGTTCTAAAATCCTTTAAGTACAATCTCCAGTGAAAAACATACTAGGGAGAGGCAACCCTGTAAGATAAGCCTTAAACACCTTTCCCAAATTTAAATTCTGCCTTAAACACACTGCCTTTGAAAAATTTTTAAAGAGTCTGTGTTGTTCTCTGGGGTCAGACTTCAAAAAGATGTCATTTTATTGCACATTAGTCTGTATATCTCTAGTTCTGTTTTATGTCTTGCACTTTTCCCTAGGAAGGAGTAAAGCTCTTTTCTATAGCTCTTGGCTTATTATATTTAATTCTACTCTTGATAGCCAGGGGATGGGTGTTTGATGGATGTTATATACTAAATAAAACCCATTGGCATAGGGCTATGTAGAAAAGCAATTTATTCCATTATAAGCACTTACACAGTTAGTCATGGGAGTAATAGGCCTGCTGATAAAACAGGTCACCCAAAATGCAGATGGTATCAAACTAGTGGTCAAGGACCAACTCCTAAAAAAAA